ATATGTTTCCGCTTGTGTGGGTTTGTATGTGTATGTGTGTGTCTGAGTGTTCGAAATGTTGTCGAATGACCAGATCATCTTTCCTGGCTGGCTAAGATTAATCATTGCGTAAGAAATGTTAAAAATAACTGACGAATTTACACATTTATTAAACTATACATTATGATCGACATAGAATTTTTAGTTACTCCCAATGCCGATTCGTCTTGAAGATAAGTAGAAAGTATTCGAACTTTCCAAATTTTGTATGGTCCCTTTCTAATTTACACTATTTACATCGATCGGACTGTTGTCCTCATTTTTATTGCCGGTTCGAAATTCCTACGTAAATCGCCTGAAGAATTCAGGAGCGTACAACGGCCGAAACGTCGTGAATATGGCAATAAAGATGAGGACAACACTCCCATTGATGTAAATAATGTAAATAGTTAAAATACGTCAGAAACATAGACGGTCTTTTTCTAAGTTTCATTATTATCTCCCTTTGTAAATGTGAAAGATTCTTTCTAAGTTACATAATTATCTCCCTTCTCTAAATATGAACCGTGAAGTTAAAATCAAAACTCCGGTCTTTAAAATTTCACGGTGTATTTTATATGTATATATACTCATATAAAGATACATGCATGTATTTACATACATTAATATTTTTAATTAAATGATATTCTCTATAACTATGGAAAGAGTCGCTAACATCTCCCGCAATATTTATTAGCCATTAATGTTTCCACAGCGATGCTATTTGTTGATGGAGGCGGCACGTATCGACCTTTCAAATTGGTGCGAAAGTCGAGCAAACACGGTCCTTAAATCTTTTTTTTTTCACGTGACAAAGTTGGTGTTTGGTATCTCCACCTTTTGGGTAATTTGAAATTATCTTCGTACTTAGTGAACCTGGAGATGTGGAAATAAATAGTCTGGTGGTTATATTAATGAACGATTTCTGTCGCCATTTTTTTGCCGGATAAAGCGTTTTTATTTTGTTTCTATAATTACACCTTAAGTGGGCTAGAGATTGAATCTTTGAAACGTTTTATTTGTAATATCAATGCAAATAAGAAATTTGAGCTTCAATGTTGGATAGATTAAATTATAGACCAATGTACTCGAAATAAGTCGTAGCGTCAAAAGGACAGTTTTTCCATGACACCGTTTTTTAACTACATTCAATCTTCAGCAATGTTTATGATCAGAATTGGAATAAAACTTAAACATATGAAAGTGAATTTTACAATTTTTTTCTTGAGAATTTACAACAAATATATTATTTTAATATTTATTTATTAGATTGTTTATTTACAAGAATAATTTTATATTTACAACATTCTAAAAACTAACTCAATTAAAACTAATGCAATTCAATAATTATCATTTACCAAATTTATAAAGAAATGTCCACAATTTTTTATTCATAAATCTATAAACATTTACTAAATTATTAAAATATGTGAACCAACAATAAGGAAATCCTTATTATTTACCATTTTATAAAGTTTGAATCCATTGGCATAGGCGATGTTTTGCCAACGATTCCAATAATATAATAATTAGTGTAAATAAACAATTTGATAAATAGAGTTTATTATTTTTGTTGTCTTGTGTCAAGAACAAATAAAATGTGTCAATTCATTTTCATATGTTTAGATTTTATTAAACTTCTAATAATCTCTTTTTAAAACAATAAACATTATCGTAAAGAGAAGGTAGTTGAAATAAAAGCGATGCAATAGAAAATAACGTTCTTTTAACACTACGTCTTATTACAGGCACGTTTGTCCATGTTTACCAAATTATATATATATATATATATATATATATATATATATATATATATATACACATACACACACAGACACAGACACAGCACACAAACACAGACACACACACACACACACACATATATATATATATATTATGGTAATTGAATACAAAACAGAAAAACTATGTTGTGACGGGTTCCGTTCAGAATGAATGTCTTCAGACAAATGGTTTTACTGAGAGAATCAATCCGATATAATTAAATATAGGCTGGCTATAGTTAACAACAAAAAGTTAATGATACAGTGACACACGACATTTAAATATAAATTTTAACTTTCTCCCATTCAGATTTTTATCATTTTAATGTTATTATTTCTAAGAAGAAACGCTGAGTTTGAAATCGGATGGCAAAATTTGAAATACTGAAATACTGTTTCTTTAAAGTTTTCGATGTAGGCTGTAGCTTTTTCTGTCTTGTCATTTATTTACCCACTATTGGTCATTTGTATATCTCACACACACAATTACACACACACACACACACACACACACACACACACACACACACACACACACACACACACACACACACACAGATATATGTCTATATAATAAATTCGAGTGTCAGTGTGTCACCATGTCACACCTTTTCAACTTTCTTCTAGAGACAGTAGTCCACCATACCATACCATTTTGGAATCAGGATCCAGACCCGCAATCCTGTAATCTTGGCTTCCCAAGTTTTCATTACTGTTTTCGGTTTTACGTGATTTTTTTTTACGATAACAATTTTTATAACTTCAAAATAAATTTGGGAATAATCAAAATTAATTGCAAAATCCAGCGAAAGTCACATATGAAATAAAAATAATTGCTTGTACGGTAAGTAAGGACCTACGCCCATCAAATTGTCTTTAGATTAAGTGGCGACAGAAGAATTACCGTTGATTTTTTAAAAGTTAAGCTTAAATATTAATATAATACTTAAATGCAGCGATCAATTTTGAGTTCTTCTGTAGTTTATCGTTGCCTATTGCATCTACTCCTCCCTACCAATTGTGATGAAGACCCAATCAAGAGCCCTCGACGGGAGTTAGCTTAAATACCGGCCAATAGGGCAGCTTTTAAGCTATATATATATATATATATATATATATATATATATATACACTAAGGAAATAACTCACAGTCAGATCATCTTTATAAAGAAAAAATATATATATATATATATATATATATATATATATATATATATATATATATATGAAAATAAATTCGAAGAAACAGAATAATAGAGTATTATTATTATTATTATTATTATTATATATTTTTGAATTTCTGTAATCGTCCTACCATGCCTACACACACACCCACCCACCCACACACACACCCACCCACCCACACACACACACACACACACACACACACACACACACACACACACACACACACATACATACACACACACACATATACACACACATATGTGTATGAGTTAACGATATATAAACTTTTATATATGAAGAATAATATTGGGGATATATATATATATATATATATATATATATATATATATATAGTTACTCAAATAATTCACATCTAGATCTTCATGAAGAATTAATATACATATATATATATACATATATATATATATAGGTACTCAAATAAATAAGTCCCATCTTGATGATCTTCATGAAGAAATTAATATGTATATATATATAATATATACATATATATATATATATATATATGTATATATTATATATATATACATGTGTGCGTGTTTGTGTATAAAGATTGTCAACGTATGCTTCTTACAGAATGAGGGTTTTGTAGGCGGATGAAAGTAATTCGAAAATGATATAATAATAATAATAATAATTATAATAATAATAATAATAATAATAATAATAATAATAATAATAAACAAAATGTTTGACGTAAGTCTTCCGATATTCAAGAGAAGTGCGCGAGAAAAGGAAATACATTACAAGCAACAAGAAAAGCAACATTTGTACAAAGACTTAGGATTTTTTTGTAGATTTATATATTTTTATACATGAAATTTAAAAAAAATTCGAACTTGAAGAAGGCAGACATACTGTCGAAATGAGGTTTTACATTGTTAAACATTGTTTTTTTTCTTTTATGTTCCTTTTCTTAAATCGTGCGCTTCTCTAAAGGGTTAATAATAATAATAATAATAATTAATTATTAATCCATCTTTTTTGAATTTCCTTCATCAGTCTACCCTACTGATGTTCAGTAAGAAGCATACCTGTACAATAATTCTACTATATATATATATATATATATATATTCTCTACTATATATATATATATATATATTCTATTATATATATATATATATATATATATATATATATATATATATATATATATTCTCTATATATATATATATATTCTATATACTGTACGCATTTCGTCATTTCGGATTTCATCGAATTAAATTTGTTTATGTCGATGTCGATGAAGTTTTAAAAGAAGTAATGCGTCATACGAAAACTTTCCCCACATTGTCATACATTTTCCCCCAATATTGTTCTTGATATATAAAAATATGTAATCGCTATCTCATATGTATATATATATATATATATATATATATATATATATATATAGTATGAGATATATCTGTTATATATTTAGTGTGATATATATATATATATATATATATATATATATATATATATATATATATAGTATGAGATATATATGTTATATATTTAGTGTGATATATATATATATATATATATTTATGTATATATATATGTGTGAGATATAGATATTTATGTGTGAGATACATATATGTGTGTGTGATATATATATATAGTGTAGTATATATATATATATATAGTGTGATATATATGTATGTGATATATATATATATATATACGTGTGAGATATAAATATATGTGTGAGATACATATGCTTGATATATATATATATATATATATATATATATATATATATATATATATATATATATATTGAGATAGATTCTTGGCAGTTTCATTTTACGTAGATGTTTTTGTTTGGCAATCTCTGAGTTACGTGTGCGAGAAGTTGAAGTAACCTGTGTATCAACTTTACAGTGCCTGTTCATGGACAATAGAGGGCGTTATTTAAGTAAATTAATTGCAGATAGGAGTGGCGGGGTTGGGGTTTCAAAAACAAAAATGCTTAGTGACATAAACTCTGACCATATGACTAGGCACGTCATCTCTTGCAGGAGTACTTCTCTGTTTTGACTAAACACTTGCGACATTTGACCGCGCAACACCAAAAGAACTTGCACTGGCAACTGATGACAATTTCCTCCGTCCACCGATGGATCTGGTAGCCACAGCTCGTGCAGAGCCGCCGGCAACTCTTCCTCTCCCTTCTGGATACCTTTTCCGACTTCTTTGGTCGTTTGCATTCCCGGTTCAGCGTCCCTTTGATGGAGAGGGTCAAGTTCTGTTTGCAGTAGTCGGGTGACTTTTCCAGATAAACTAGGTCAGTGTTTGAGACTTGGGACAAACCCTGGCCGCTGGCGACGTTCCATTCACCCAGTTTGCCTTCCTGGAAATTGACGTGGATTGCCTTCGTGTAACGCCGTTTTAGATAGTTGCCGATTCGCCGGAAATCTGCCAGTTGGCGCCAACACGTCTTTGTCGTACAGCTGCCAGATACTCCGTGACATTTACACGTCGTCTTCATTGTTTTACGAACCGACTGCAAAAGAAAAAGCAAAAAGAACACTATATAAAAATCGAGTAATACTTTTAAAAAGTTATATGCCGATTTACTCAACCTTAGAATGGTTCTTTTTCTATGTGTCGTGTCTCTCTAGGAAGTTGTCGATTACGGATCTCCATAATTTCCTATCTTTTATAAGTAAATAATAAATTTTGTCTTTTTGTTATCTCTCTGGAATCTTGTTCCAACATCCATTTACTCTAGCTCCTCCTCCTCCTCCTTCTTCTTCTTCTTCTTCTTCTTCTTCTTCTTCTTCTTCTTCTTCTTCTATGTGTCGTGTTCCTTCAGGCCGTTGGTGATCATAGCTCTCCACAATTTCCTATTTTTTGTAGCTAAATAATAAATTTTGTCTTTTTGTTATCTCTCCTAAATCTTGTTCCGACATTCATTTACTCAAGCTTCTCCTTCTCCTCCTTCTTCTTCTTCTTTTTTTTTTCTTCTATGTGCCGTGTCCCTTCAGGACGTGTGCGATCATGGCCTTCCACAATTTCCTATCTTTTGAATGGTTCTTCTTTTTCTATGTGCAGTGCCATGTCTCTTCACGACGTTAGCGATCAGGGCTTTTCCTCAATTTCCGAAAACCTGATCCGCCTTCCAATTCTTCAACCTTGTCAGTGTCGGAGAAGGGTTAATGGCTGATAAATTTGTATGTACTAACTCTGAGGGTAAGAAGGACAGAGGAAAACAACTCTGAGGGCAAGGAGGACAGAGGAAAACAACGCATAATTTAACTAGCAAAAAAATATTTAGGAGAGATTACAAAAAGAAATATTGAGCTACAAAGGACAGGAAATTGTGGAGAGCCATGATTACCAACGTCTTGAAGGGACATGGCATATAAGAGAAGAAGGAGCGTGAGTAAATAGATGGAAGAACAATATTTAGGAGAGATAAAAAAACAAAATTTATTGATAGCATCAAAGGACAGGAAATTGTGGAGAGCCATGATCGTCAATATCCTGAAGGGATATGACACATAAAAGAAGATGAGTTGGTATCAAATATAGATCGAATATGGATTGGTGACCGACAGGGTGATAAGATAAAGAACAAATAAGAAACGTTTATCAATCTACAATGTTTCGCTTTTATTAAAGCTTCAGTAGAGAATGAGATGTGGAGAAAAATCAGAAAGAAATTCTAATATATTTTACTTTTTTGTTTGATTTTTATTGGTTAATCATGTTCCACGTGCATTTGACTTGTAAAACAAACGTTAGTATAATTTGTTTCGTTCCGAATTCAGGGAGAGACGAAACGTCCCTTCGAAGTTCCAAGAAATTAACTGAAAAACCGTAAATATTGCTTTGTGTATGATAGTGTATAATAATTCTACTGTGTCTATGATGTGTGTGTGTGTGTATGTATGTATGTCTAGCAGACATGTATGTTGGTTTTTCGCATGTTGATTTGGGAAAGTTTTTACGTACATACAGATTGAATTCAATAAAAGTTAGTGATGTATTATAATATTTTTGAAGTGTGTTTATAGTTGGTAATATTGTCAGTAGTAATCTCTTGAAGTACTTTCTTCGTAAAGAATTATGTTCCTTTTTGATTAGAGTGGCATTTGTAAAATGAAATTTATGGCCAGAAGAACTGAATTCTTCTTTTTGGGAAAAAGAAAGATTTCGTATACTCACAACTCTTCCTACTTCATGATTGTGTAGCTTCATAGAAGCTAAAGCATCTTTTCCTTTCTCCAACGAGTCAACCAACTGTTTGGAAACTCGGCCACCAAATCGAACATTATCGCTGCATCCACTCCACAGCCAATTGTGACCCCCTGAAGATATTCGAAAAAGAAATATTTCAAAGGATGAATTCTTTCAGCGGATATATTTTTAGCAGTAGATAAAAAAAAAAAAAAAGAAAATGAAAAAAAATACTATCATATATTTTCTTGCTGATTATAAGAAATGGAAACGAATTCATTTATAAGATATTATAAATTAATAAATAAATGACTTAGAAAAGGCACAGGGGAATGACATTAAGGCAATAGGAAAGTGACTGAAGCCGAGATGTCAGGTCAGGACAAATAACAGTGCAGATTATTCTTTGGAAATTATCAAGAATCTCTAGATATCTAGCAGAATTTATAGATTCATAACATTTATAAGTTAATCATTTGTCCATGCATTGAATATTGCTGTCACATCTAGTCTGTTGATTTTGATAGTTATCTAGAGATTCATTATAATTTCCAAAGAAGAATTTTCAATGTTATTGGATTTGATTTGGCATCTCGGTTTCAGTAACTTACCCACTACGATAACGTCGCTTCCCTGTGCCTTTTCTATAATATTTTCATGGTATTTGTTCTGATGAGCTTTTCACTGTTAATATGTTGTTAACTGCGACAAGGAAAGTCTTGCTAATTTTAGCGCCTTCATAAACGAAACTGCTCTGTTTTATTTCTCTACGAGAACCGTTTTTGCCATCCATCAGCATGGCTAATGTTAACCTCCAAGAGAGGGGATCCTTGCGACGTCTCGGACTAGCGTTTTTCGTTGACATGAAGTGGCAAGATTATATTACATCAATTGCTAGGTCTGCTTACTAGGAAAGTTGGTTCCCCTTGTCGTTCTAGTCAATGTTTCTCGCTATCTTACTTATTTATAAGTCTATCCTTCGCCCATGCTTCGAATATTACTGCTGCATCTGGTTAGATATCTAGAGACTCTTGATAATTTTCAAAGAAGAATCTGCAGTGTTATTGATCCTGACCTGGCATCTCGGCTTCAGCCACTTTCCCATTGCCGTATCGTCGCTTCTCTGTGCCTTTTCTATAAATATTTTCATGATAATTGTTCTGATGAGCTTTCCAATTTGGCAGCTGGACTTTACAAATTTAAGCGTGACATTTTATAGTTGAAATGACTCGATGTAACCGTAAGATCTATGCTAACCGTTTCTTGTTTTACTTATACTACAAGCATTGGTGACTTTAATTTGGGACTTAATCACTTACCTCGTTTTCCTTTTTTAGAGTCATCACAACCACAGTCTGTAAAATGTCCCAGGCTGCAACGGCGCGTGAGTGTGTGCATTATGCCGGCCGCAATGATACCCTGAACGAAACTTGCTTCTTGGGTGGCTGCAAAGAAAATTGTTTATCTTTACGTTACGTCTTGCTGAAGCGACCTTTACCAAGTTTTATTTGAAGACATCCTTTCTCATGAATCAGCTTTGTTTGTCGAAAAAGCTTTACAAAGATACAAACAAATTCTAAGATTTCATTTGTCTAAAACTGTATGTATGCATATACATATATTTTAAGACATTTTTATGTTTATACATTCTTTCTTTATAGATACAAATATGTAAGTGAATGCTCTGTTTATAATAAACAGTATTAACAACATTTACCAGCCTGAATGTCCGAGAAATTGTCAAAGAAAATATGCGCTCTCCGACAGATATCGAACCTGTATTCTATATGGAACCGTCATATAGCCTGACGTGCTTTTACTGATTTCGCCACAAAGGAGCGTTTCGGTTAGCAAAGTCGATCGATTTTACTATTTTTAAACTACAATTCTCCATGATTTTTTACGTACATTCATATCTGCTCAAAGCGTATCCAAATGTAAACAAATGACGTCACACATTATGAAAGGGACAAAGTCCGACAATTATTTTAAGACATTTTTATGTTTATACATTCTTTTTTTTTTTGAGATAAACATATATATATATATTTTATAGATAAACATATACATTTTATAAATCTTACGGTTGAATTAGCGACACATGTAATCGGAAGTTAGTAGTTTTTTCTTGCACTTCTTGCTGTTTTCTTGCTTCATTGCTACCTACAATCTTTAAAAATTAAAATGCAACGCCAATCGCAATTTCAAAGTGGACACTGATGTCAACCACGAACGGTGACCGTCAGTTTTATGATTGAGCGCAATCTTCAGACCATTTGTATTGTGTGTCGGCTCGACTACTTATATATGTTGGTTAGTGGTGCATTATGGGTAGCAAAGTCTGTTGTATTACGGTGACTGTGTAGGTATCAACGGTTACAACGGTTAGAAACACATTCAGAACATTGCAGTTCAAAGTTATTAAAATAAATAAAAAAAATTTCAATCTTGTTTAAATGCTTCTTTTTTTCCCAGATTTTGTATGAATTTAAATTTGTTATAATTTGTGTAAAAGAGGATCTTGTTCTTCGACTGTGGACTCCCAGGTCACCAGATCTTAACCCATGTGATTTTCATCTGTGGGGGTCAATAAAAGAAGGAGTGTTTGTTCCACCTATGTCTTCTACTTCGAATTATTGAGGCTGTGAAATTAATATTCAGAGATCAATTGATTCGAGTGCGACAAGAATTGGAATAGTTTCGATGTTTATCACGCAACAAACGGTGCTCATGTTGAGGACATACAAGTTGAACAACTTTAAAATAATAAACTTTGAAACTTTTTCTATCCAGAAATGTATTGAATTTGTTTTGTCTCTTAGCATTTGTTTTTATTAAATTTTCGATATCTGCTCTTTCTTTCTGAATAACCCTGTATATATATATATATATATATATATATATATATATATGTGTGTGTGTGTGTGTGTGTGTGTGTGTGTGTGTGTATGTGTGTGTACGTATGTATAACAATTATGAAACAGTTATTCACCAGAGTTGAATTAGATCAGGAAATATTTGTATTAAACAGTGCTTAATACACATATAAAGAAAATAAAAATTTAACACGCAGCGTTTTTATATATATCCTATATCACCTGAGGATACCGAAAGGTTGAAACCAAGGTAGCATGATTGGCTGATCTCCTAATTTTTAACACATATATATATATATATATATATATATATATATATATATATATATATATATATATATATATATATATATATATATGTGTGTGTGTGTGTGTGCGTGTGTGTGTGTGTTTATGAATAAATATAGTCTTAAGGTGTGCTATATTTATG